AAAATTAGTAAGTAAATAAATGTCTCTTTTTCCTACATGTGTAGGGCATCGGTTGCTACATGTTCCGAATTGATGACTCGGAGGTAGTGGATGCCACCATGCATGGAAATGCTGCACGCTTCATCAATCACTCATGCGAGCCTAACTGCTACTCCCGGGTCATCAATATCGATGGGCAGAAGCACATTGTCATCTTTGCCATGCGTAAGATCTACCGAGGGGAGGAGCTCACCTACGACTATAAGTTCCCCATCGAGGATGCCAGCAACAAGCTACCTTGCAACTGTGGCGCCAAGAAATGCCGGAAGTTCCTGAACTAAAGCTGCTTATCTTCCTGTGATGGAGGACCAGGACCGAGGACCACCCAAAGCCATGCTAAAGGATTTCTCAGCAGCTAGGATCTCCAGGATTGAGTGGGCAGTTGAGGGTACTCTGGCCAAGCACCCTAGTGTCCCACATTCACATCATGTGATCTTAGTCTTGGAGAGAAGGGCCTCAAACCAAAAAACCACGGTTGGCTTTCTCCTGGGGCCTCTCTGATTGTTGTAAAACATGGGAAATGGACTCCTGGGAGATTGGCCTGGAAGGAGCATGTTGAGGGTTACTTACAGTGGGAGATGGGATCTGAGCATGTTCTCAGAGAAGTTTGTCATCCTCACCTCAGCCCTCTCCCAAGCCCTACAAGCAATGGGTCAGACAAGACCCCAGATACAGGGCTGGTGGGATATCTGGTAGTTGCCAGTCAGGCCTGGCCTGTGGCCGTCTGTTCTACAACAGAAGGTCTGGTGGTTTTCCCTACTTAAGAGTTCACTTTGGTTGGGAGACAGGTTTCCTAGCACCTCTGGTGTCAAAAGGCTGTCTTGGGGTTGTGCCAACTAACTACCAAACATTGAGCCTGTGGCTGTGAGTGGGAGTGTTACCCTGTGAGCCTTACCGCAGCCAGTGACCTTTCTTGATGATAGGAGCGGCTCCCTCTCCATCCCGTCTGTCCACTCCCTTCCCACCCTCCCATCCTTCATCTGCTGCTTTCCCATTCTTCTTTCTGGGTGGCAGGGCTTGTCTCCCTGCTCAGGGACACTCCCTATTGGGTATAGGAAGTGCCTACAGAAAGTCCCCTGAGCCTGAAAGCACTCCAGGTGGGGAAGTGGACAGGAGCCACTGGCCATAACCAGACAGAATTCAGAGAGTTCATAAAGCTCCACTGGGAGTTTTAAAGAGATCAATGTAGCAAGATTTTTTTTTTGAACAAGCTAAAGATGATTTCAATAGGATTTGAGTCGTGCAACAGCCAGAGTACAATAACCAGGATAAGCCGCAGCCCCTTCCTAGGACATGCTTACTTTCTTTTCCCTTTCTTAAAGACATAGGAAGATGAATTCTAAATGGTCAGTGTCCAGCTGAAAGAACACTAATCAGATTTCAAGGCCCCAGACTTGGGAACTAGACCACATGTGCTGAGGGACCTCTGCCAGCTGTGTGAGTCTGTGGCTGAGCAAATTTAATGACACTACTGCCCTGGTTACTTCGTAGGATGTGGACAAACAGCAGCAAATGTTTCTTTCTTCCCCAAGATAGTGTCTTGAACCTGTTAAATTAAGTCATTGGATTTTACTCTGTTCTGTTTACAGTTTACTATTTAAGGTTTTATAAATGTAAATATATTTTGTATATTTTTCTATGCGAAGCACTTCACAGGGAGAAGCACTTATGACAAGGCTATTTTTTAAACCGTGGTATTATCCTAATTTAAAAGAAGATCGGTTTTTAATGATTTTTTATTTTCATAGGATGAAGTTAGAGAAACTATTCAGCTGTCCACACAAAGTCTGGTTTTTCCTGCCCAACTTCCCCCTGGAAGGTGTACTTTTTGTTGTTACATGTTTAGCTCGTTCGCGCCCGCTGACATAAATGTTCTCTGGGTCTGCTCTTTGCAGTAATGGAGAAGGAAGGTCACCCACTCCATTAGGCACTGCCCTCCATTGCCAAGGAAGCTCCTAGAGGCTACAGTACCTTGGCACACCAGTCTCCTGCACTGCCCCTCTCCCTCTGGCTGGGGTGGCTCCAGAGTGCCGAGCAGCGCGCTCCATTTCCCTCGCCTTTCTCTTTCAGAATTAGCAGCCATCAAGTTGGCAACCTGACAATTGCCGTCACTGTCTGCCTCATAGATCATCTCCTTTCCTTCCTCTCTGCCCGCCAAGCCCTTGTTCCTACAGAGAGCCCACTGACCACCTCGTGCCCTCTTTGGGGGCAGCCTGTTGAAACTGAAGCACAGTCTGACCACTCGCGATCAAGCAGATCTCTGCACCTGCCACAAGGTTTCAGGGTAGTGTAGTCCAAGTAGAGGGTGGGGCATCCTTTTCTCCTATGGAAGTCAGCAAAGCAATATGATGCAGCCCAGCACTCTCTGCCCAGGACTCATGGCTCTGCTGTGCCTTCCATCCTGGGCTCCCTCTTCTTCCATGACCTTAAGAACTTTGTCTGGTGGCTTTGCTGGAACATTGTCACTGTTTCCACTGTCATGTGGGAAGCCCAGCACTGTGGCCAGGATGGCAGAGACTTCCTTGTCATCGTGGAGAAGTGCCAGCAGGGGACTGGGGAAAGCAGTCTACCCAGACCTCACCTCCCGCCCTCCTTTTCTCATGAACAAGACGCAGTGGCCCAAGGGGCTCCACTAGTGTCTGATTTCCTTTCTTATTGCACTGTGTGAGGTTTTTTTGTAAATCCTTGTATTCCTATTTTTTTTAATGAGAAAAATTGAAGCTGCATTTGTTACTGAAACGATTAATGCACTGATGGGTCATGCATTCACCTTAAGAGAGACCCAAAGGCCAGTCAGAGGGTGGGGGAAACTCAGCTGACAGACCTAGTTACTGCCCTGCTAGGCCATGCTGTACTGTGAGCCCCCTCCTCATCCTCTCTCTACAACCCCAACCCCTGAGGTCAGGGGAGGAACCCACCTTTCCTCCTCCTGCCAGCTGCAGATGGTTTACCTTGCTTCCTACCCACTGTCAACCACAGAAGTGAGAAATCCCTCTTTCAGCTCAGCCTTGAGTCCATTGCCAAATTTCAGCATACCTGCCAGCAACTTGGGGGATAAGCCAGAGTTTCCCCACAAGAGGGAAAGAGGACAACAAAACAAAAGGCACAGCTGTCTCCAAAACATGTCTGACTTCATTTTGAAAGTGACCAAGAGAACCTCCGCACAGAAGTGCAGGTTGAGTGAGGACTTGCATGGTGGGTCATTCCCAAGAATTCCTCAAGGGGCAATCCACATCCCTAGGAGTGACAGCTGCAAACCTCATAGGTTCTCAGAGCCAGCTCACTTAATGGCTTTGCTGCTAGAACCTGTTGTGGCTGCATTTCCTGGTGGCCAGTGACAACTGTGTAACCAGAATAGCTGCATGGCGCTGACCCTTTGGCCAGAACTTGGTCCCTGGGCTCCTTCATTGTTATCCATGTCCAGCACAACCCCTTTCCTATTTTTAGACCAATCACAATTAAGGGGGAAGCCCTGGTACCTCTTAGATTTTCAACCCAAACTCCTTTGCCAGGACCCAGCTCACCTCTGTCAACTCTCGGCCAATCCAGTGAGCACCATGCAGCAACCTTGATTTAAAAAAAAAAAAAAAAATTTAAAAAAAAATTTTAAAAAAGTTTAAAAAAAAACCCTAAAAATTAAAAAAAATACAACACACATATAAAAAAAAACAAAAAAAAATATTTTAATGAATGTATCTTTCTAAAGGACTGACGCTCAATCAAATACCTGAAAATACTAAAGGTCAGAGCCTCATCAAATGTTAACTTTTTTTGGATTTGGGATTCTTTTTCATAGAAACCAAGTTGGGTTGGTTTTTTTTTTTTTTTCCTTTTTGTTTTGTTTTCAAGGAAAAGCGGGTCATTGCAAAGGGCTGGGTGTAATTTTACGTTTCCTTTCCTTCATTTTAAAGCAATACAAAGTTATTGAGCAGATAGTTTTGTGCCGAATCATGAAAAATCATGAATATCAGTCAAGTCTCACTCTGAAAACTTGCAGCCTTTTTGTTTGTTTGTTTGTTTTGGTTTTCAAATAAATATAAATATATATATATAAATAGGAACTAATATAGGAATGCACCATTGTAACAAAGCCTAGTTCAGTCCATGGCTTTTACTTCTCTTAACACTATAGATAAGGATTGTGTTGCAGTTACTAGTCGAGGCAGGAAAATGTCAGGCTCCTGGGGCCTCTGGTTCCTACACAGGAACCCCGAACCACAAAAGGATGACAGACGCCCGTCCCCAAGATCAGAGTGCAATGCAGAGATGGTGTCACCTGGGCTCTTCCTGCCTGTGAATGTTGCCAGTTGGTACCTGTACTCCTCGTTTCTCTACTTTTGGTTATGAATGTTGGGGTTACCACCTGCATTTAGGGGAAAATTGTGTTCTGTGCTTTCTGGTATCTTGTTCTGAGGTACACTAGTTCTGTCTTTCAACCAAGAAAATAGATTTGTGGTGTTTCTTTTCTTGAACTTTACCAGTCTCCTTAGCAAATACAGGTAGTTGAATAATTGTTTCAAGAGCTGAACAATGACAAGCTTCATTTCTAGATAAGACATTTCTCAGCAACTGTATCATGTAAAATGGATCTTTTGGGGGTTGTTTTGTTTTGTTTTGTTTTTTTCCCTTTTTTTCCTTGTGTTCTTCCAAGCTTCTGGTTAGAGAAAAAGTGGGGGTGGGGGAGGAAAATGTGTCTAAAGTCCATCAGTGTTAACTCCCTGAGACAGGGATGAAGGAAAGTACTTTAATAGTTCAAAAATAATAATGCTGAAAGCTCTACGAAAGACTGAATGTAAAAGTAAAAAGTGTACATAGTTGTAAAAACAAAAAAGGAGTTTTTAAACATGTTTATTTTCTATGCACTTTTTTTTATTTAAGTGATAGTTTAATTAATAAACATGTCAAGTTTATTGCTGCACTCGGGCTTAGCTTCCTTTTGGCCTTGGTGCGGGTGGGGAAGGGAGGGAGGGATTTATGAACTGGTTACTGAGTGCCTTATACCCTCTCTTCTGTAAGATTGCTCATTTGCCCGGAATGTCCTCCACTGAGCAGTGATGTGTATCCAGGACCTTAACAGGTTCTGGATGGAAGGACTTGGTTTCTATCTACTTACCTCCTCTGATAAGCAGTTAGCGGTACCTTTAGTGCGCCGCTCCACCTTAAGGCTGACACAGGGTTTGTTTGTTCTGTTAGGGCTATAGTTCAGTTGGGAAATACTGTGAAACCACCAGGCCAGGTCACTAACCCTTTCCATGGAGGCTGAGCCAAGGACTGGAAGACACCCCTTCTGACTTGGGGGCAGTCTCCAAACAGAACCACCTCCATTCACAACAAGAGCCAGCTAAAAGCTCCACCCTTTCCCCATCTTCCCTTGTTACCCTAGTTACACTGGGACTTTGGAGCAGAGCACCATGGGGACTCCAAATGATCAGGCAGTGCTGCAGGCCATCTTCAACCCCAACACACCATTTGGAGATGTCATTGACTTGGACCTGGAAGAAGCAAAGAAAGAAGATGAAGGTAAATCTTTGACCTTGGTGTGTGCCTCTCCATAGGCTGGCAGGCACTTGAGCTTTCTTACAGGATGTGGTGGACCCTTCCTTCCACCCTTGCCGATGATGTCAGAGATTGGAACCAGAGAAGTCCTCTGAAGTTCAGTGTCTAGGGTAGGCAGGAATCACTCTGCTAAGAAAAGACCAGAGTTTGCCTCTCAGTCATTCAGCTTCCTACCACTAAAGTCTTCCTGTGATCTAAATTAACTGCTGGCTGAAGTCAAACTCTCAAAGCTTTGACTTTGATGTAAAGGATGGTGGCTCAGTTGACACACCCTGACATAACATTAGAGCTTCATTTGTTAAGCACTATTACAAGCCAGGCACCCAGCTCTTCCCCCCAAGGGAGCAGCATGGTCCATTGCTTGATGAGGATGTTTGGGACTTTGCTTCTGCAGGAGTGGAACCTGAGCCTTACTGAAGCTTCAGGCTGAAAATCTCAAGGACAGATCAGGAGTGGTTTTCAAAACCTGGGACTGCCATGGGACTGTCAGGCGGTGTGTAAAGCAAAATGAGGACAAGCCAAAGAGAAGGATTTAAATCTAAGCTCCACAACCTGGGACTGTGGTCTAGAATAAGTCACCAGCGTACAAGTTGCTGGGGTTCTCTTCACCTGTCCCTTTCTCAGGTCTCTTAGCCAGTGCTAGCTCCCAGTTTTAGTGACTTCAGCTACTCTCCATAACTGCAAGTTACCTCTGCTGTTGTCCACACCCAGTCATCTCTGATTCAGGTGTCATAATGCCTAAGCCCTAGGTGACTTCTCATGTTTTCCCTGCTGTACATGTCCCCACCTTGTTTCTTCCCTGGTGCAGATGGAGTTTTCCCTCAAGAACAGTTGGAGCAGTCCAAAGCTCTGGAGTTGCAGGGAGTGAGGGCAGCAGAAGCTGGGGACCTCCACACAGCCCTGGAGAAGTTTGGCCAAGCTATCTGCCTGCTACCTGAGAGAGCCTCTGCCTACAACAACCGGGCTCAAGCCCGGAGGCTCCAGGGGGATGTAGCAGGTGAGGGGAAGAGATCCTCCACAGAAAGAATCCCTTCCATGAAGAGCAGAGGTGAGGTGGCTGTGAGGTGAGAGCATAGGAACAGATGCTAAACGCTCTGACGCCCATGTTTTTACAAAATCCAAGACAGAGTATGGATTCTGCTGGCTTCATGAGACTATTATGAAAACCAAGAGGCTGTCTTCTGTTCATGAGTTTAAGGAACATTTAATAAGAGCCTTCTAGGCAGCAATAGGCTAGAAGCAGAGGGCATGCAGATACCACATTTATGTAGTGGTTCCTGTGGACCAGGCACTATGCACTCAACCAGGCTGTACTAACAATCCTCACGACCACCCTAAAAGGTATGTGTTGTCATTCCATTGTAAAGATGAAGAAAAGGAAGCATACATAGGTTAAATAGCTTCTCCACACTCCTCCAGCTGAGGAGCAGCTGAGCCCGGATATGAACACAGTGGTAGGGCTCCAAATCCCATGATACTGCTCCCCAAGGAGTCACCAAGCCTTGCAGAGGTATGCAGAGACCCAAGGGTGACAAACTACAAGTGTCAGACTGAGAAGGTGGTTGTCACTCAAGGATTTAGCTTGAGCAGGAAGGCAACTGGATCAAACCTGATGTATTCTAGTTACTATGACTGGAATGGGGATCTTGGGACAGAGAGGAAGGATTGGAGGCCAGGTGGACTGTAAGCTAGAGACCTGGTAGAGGACCAGGCCATAGATAGGATTAGTTGGTGGGGGTGTTCCTAGAACCTAAACTAGAGAATCTGGCCTCCATCCTAATGACAGTAGAGGTTACCCAAAGAGCTCTTTTTACAGGCTTGTCTGCCATAGGCTGTTGATGACAGCCTGCAGAGGGAAAGCGGGGAAGGTTCAGAGGTGACCCCACCTGTAGAGACTTGGACTCTAGCAGACTAGCTGTGGAGAGGGAAACTGAGCAATGCCTGGTCCCAGAGCTGCTCAGTCTACAGTCTAGCTCTACTGTGTTTCCTAAACCAGATTCACTGACGATGGAAGCTTAGCCTTCCTCCACAATGGTGCTAAGCAACACACACTAGGAGACTAGAGAACATGGATTAAAGCAGGGTCCAAAGAAAGCAGCTGGTGGACTTCACGAAAACCCTAAGCTGGCTGCCTGAGGCTCTGAGTTCTGAGATCAACCCAAGTACATTCCTCTGAGAATCACAAAAATAAAACAGGGCAGCCAGCTCTGGCTCCACAATGAAATTAGATACAGGATAATGAAGACCATAGAGATAATGAAGGAGGAAATGAGAAGAGTGTCCCTTTCATAGCCTGCATTGGAAAAGAGGAGGAAAGGTGAAAAGAGACTGACTCTATAGCAGGAAACAGTTGTGTAGCTAATTATATGTTTTTTATTTAACTTTCTTTTATGTGCATATGTGTGTGACAATATCAGATCCCCCTGGAACTGGAGTTACAGACAGTTGTGAGCTGCCATGTGGGTGCTGGGTCCTTTGGAAGAGCATTCAGTGCTCCTAACCACTGACCAATCTCTTTAACCCCTAATGATGTTTTTTGAACTCTAGGATTCAGAGTGGTCACCAAGCACACAATAGATGCTTGGCTACTTATTGACAGTGTGAGCTACAGCTATTTGGCAGTTGGCAGATTCCCTCAGCAACATTCACATTTTGAGTCCATCTGTGGTAGAACGTACTGGGAACACGGCCAGGGCAAGCCTTGGACTTTAATCTCAGCTTTGCCCTTGGGTGGCCCCCCAAGCCAGTTCTTTCATGTCGGTGTTAGGAATAACAATCCCGGCTCAAAAGTCTGCTACACGAATTTGGGTTATGAATTCCGGGAATGGGTTACTTGGAGGGTGGGCTGGGGCTCGGAGGCCCACACCTGGCTGACCCGCGCCATCTCCCCGTCGGCCCACAGGCGCCCTGGAGGACTTGGAGCGCGCAGTGACGCTGAGCGGCGGCCAGGGTCGCGCCGCCCGCCAGAGCTTCGTGCAGCGCGGACTGCTGGCGCGATTGCAAGGCCGAGACGACGACGCCCGCAGGGACTTCGAGCAGGCAGCGCGACTGGGCAGCCCGTTCGCGCGGCGCCAGCTGGTGCTGCTCAACCCGTACGCCGCGCTGTGCAACCGCATGCTGGCCGACATGATGGGGCAGCTACGCGCGCCCAGCAATGGGCACTGAGCGTGGCCGAGGGATGATGGAGAGGGGACCCCTGATCCAACCAGTACCCAATAAAACTTCGGGGACTGCCGACTGCGTCTGCTTTACGTCCGATCGCTTACCAACCAACCTCAGGGTGGGAGCCGCGGCGTGGGTGGGACAGGGCGGGGCTGGAGCGGCCACCTGCGGGTGCTCGGGCAGCGATTGGTCCTGCCTGGCCTGGGCCCCGCCCTTGCAGCGAACTGCGGCGCTCCCCAGATTTTATGCGATTGCCGCGGCGCTGCTTCGGGAGGGAGCCAGGTGAGCCAGGATGCTCCGAAGACAGGGATGCTTCTGCGACCCCCCGTCCCGGCTCCGCGATGCTCTCATCCCAAGTTCACTTGAGCGGCGGAGATTGGGAAAGGGGTGCATGGCGAGAGATGGGAAGGAAAGTCAGTCCAGGAGGGGACCCGGTCAGGAGAAGGACGATCCCCTGGGGGGAAGGGCATGTGTGGACCGAGTGTGTGTGTGTGTGTGTATGTGTGTACGATCTCCTGGGGGGAAGGGCATGTGTGGACCGAGTGTGTGTGTGTGTGTGTGTGTGTGTGTGTGTGTGTGCGCGCGCACGCGCGCGTGTGTGTGCGTGTGTGTGTGTGTCTGTCTGTCTGTCTGTCTGTCTTGTCTGTCTGTCTTGTCTTTCTGTCTGCCTGCCTGCCTGCCTGCCTGTCTGTCTGTCTGTCTGTCTGTCTGCGGTCACCTACTGTCAATGCTGGCTTCTGTGCCCACACTGTCTCTTCGTTTGGGTTGTTGATTGTGCCTGTTTGTGTCAGTGTCTTGGCCACTGTGGGCCAATCTACTCCAGTGCATGGTAAATTCTTGCAGGAGTTGCTAGGCCTACCTGGCTGGTACCAAGGCTATATACCCTTTTCTCAGCAGCCTGGAGGCCAATCCCTGACCACTATGGAGCTGCCTCTGAGCCAAGCTACCCTCCGGCACACGCTGCTGCTCTTGCCAGCCCTCTTAAGTTCAGGTATTTGTTCATCCTTTGACCAAACATTCAAGGGGCCAGAGCCCCATCTTTGCCCTCCTTGCTTGCATCTCAAGATACCCACTTCAGACTCCAGAACTGGGTTCCCCTATCTCCACTTCCCTATCCTAAGTCCTGCCAGGCCCTGATGAGAGAAACCAGCTTGCCTGTCTCTTGGCCTGCTGCCCCTCTGTAACTGGACCTCACCATGGGCTGCCTAAGCCCTTCCCAGAGGCTGTCTTCTGTGTTCCAGGTCAAGGGGAGCTGGCGCCACAAATTGATGGTCAGACCTGGACTGAGAGAGCACTTCGAGAGAATGAGCGCCATGCCTTCACCTGTCGGGTGGCAGGTGGATCTGCCACACCCCAATTAGCCTGGTACCTGGATGGACAGCTACAGGAGGCCACCACCTCAAGATTCCTGAGTGTGGGCGGGGAGGCCTTCTCTGGAGGCACCAGCACTTTCACTGTCACTGCCCAGCGTGCCCAGCATGAGCTTAATTGCTCTCTGCAGGACCCAGGAAGTGGCCGGCCAGCCAATGCCTCTGTCATTCTCAATGTGCAATGTAAGTATTCCTGAGGTGGGCGGGGAGAGACATTCCTGGACCCCCAGCAGAACAGTTTTGAGTGTTTTGTTTTGAGGTAGTATTACTACATAGCCTAGGCTGGCCTTGAACTTGAAAATTTCCTGTTTCAGCTCCCTAGTGCTGAGATTACTGGTATGCATGACACACTCAGCTTTAACAGGGCATTCACAAACACTTTGAAAATGTAGCTTTCTTTATCCTCATTAATCTTATAAGGGATTTCTTTCTTTGTCCCTGTTTTGCAAATGAGAAATCGAGGCACAAACATGTTAAACAAGGTCAAGGTTAAAAAGCAGAGCAAGGATGCAAATCTAGATCCTTTCTATTTTTTAATTTTATACTTTGAGACTTTCTTCAAACTTACTATGTGGCCAAGGATGACTCTGAACTTCTGATCTTCTTGCTTCTACCTCCCTAGGGCTGAGACCCTAGGCAGGTGCCACCATGTGTGGTATAAGGACTGGACCCAGGACTTTGTGCAAACACCAATTGAGCTATATCCTCAGCCCAGGCTTTTTATATTTTAAGACAGTCTTGCTACATATCCAAAAGTAGCCTCAAACTGGAAATCGTGCCCCATCCCACCCCCTGCCCCACCCCATCTCAGCTTCCGTAATGCTGAGATTTCAGGCATGACCACCACACCTGGTTTTATGCTTTGCTAGGTATCAAACCCAGGGCTTTCTACTGACTGAGCCGCATCCCCAGTCCCTGGCTTTCTATCTTAACTTCAGTGAACTGATGCTGTGCCAGCAGGCCTAGCTATCTGCTCCTTGATGTTCTTTCTGAAGAGATTCCTAGGCCCTTGCTCCCCTCCACATTTGGGAAGGAAGGGCCAGCATGAGGGGCCAGAATGAGAGTGTGTTATTCTCTGTTCTGCTCTAGTTAAGCCAGAGATTGCCCAGGTCGGGGCCAAGTATCAGGAAGCTCAGGGCCCAGGCCTTCTGGTTGTCCTGTTTGCCCTGGTGCGGGCCAACCCACCTGCCAATGTCACCTGGATTGACCAGGATGGGCCAGTGACTGTCAATGCCTCTGATTTCCTGGTGCTGGATGCTCAGAACTATCCCTGGCTCACAAATCACACAGTGCAGCTGCAGCTCCGCAGCCTGGCTCACAACCTCTCAGTGGTGGCCACCAATGATGTGGGTGTCACCAGTGCCTCACTTCCGGTTCCAGGTATGCAACTGGCTTGGCAAAGCCCCAGGTGGGTGCAGGGGTCCTGGAATGGAAAGGGAGGACTTGTTGCCCTGTGGTTGGCCTTGTAGATGAGTTGTCCCCAGCCACCTTGGGCAAGGACAGAGTATATGGAGCTATGGCATGTCGGGGTTAGGGGTACTTGCAAACTAACCAGTGGACAATCCACAGGGCTCCTGGCCACCCGAGTAGAAGTGCCACTGCTGGGCATCGTTGTGGCTGGAGGGCTTGCCTTGGGCACGCTAGTGGGGTTCAGTACCTTGGTGGCCTGTCTGGTCTGCAGGAAAGAGAAGAAAACTAAAGGTAGGGCCAGAGGCAGCAGAGGCCAGGGGCGGTGGGATAGTGACAGTGAAGTTGGGGGTGAGCAACAGCAAGGGTGGTAGGCAGAGCCGGGAAGAGGCAGCTGTCTCTGGCATGTGGCAGAGCACTTGCAAGGCAGGACTGGGGGTGAGACTACATGGACTGTAGGCAGCAGGGACAGGTACCAGAGCTGTCTCGGGTCCCAGGGCCAGGCATGGGCATTCCAGACACTCTTGGCTCAAGGGTCTTGAGTCTGAATGGGCAGGGGGCAGAACCCAGCATGGGAGGGCACACTGACTCTGTGGCATGGTTTCTTTGTCCTCAGGCCCCTCCCGGCGCCCATCTCTGATATCTAGGTAATGCTTCCTGGGGCTGGGCAGGTGGGCTAAACTAAAATGCAAGGCACTGGATTTTAAACTAAAAGACAGGTGGTAACCTGGGGGCTTCTGGGAGGTCTGGATGGAGCCTCAAAGCCGACTGCATACCTGCTGGCATCAGGGTCTATCTTAGCCTTTGTCTGTCCTGTAGTGACTCCAATAACCTGAAACTGAGTAATGTACGCCTGCCACGGGAGAACATGTCCCTCCCATCCAACCTTCAGCTCAATGACCTCACCCCGGATCTCAGAGGTATGTCTGGGGCCAGTTCTCTCTGTGCTTAATCTTTACAACTTCTAAGAAAGAGAGACCCTGGTTCTTAGGCAGAGACATGTCCCCTTAGGAAAAGTCCTGTCCTGGGCACCACCTTATTTGTCACCCAACAGGGAAAGCAACAGAGCGGCCAGTGCCTCAGCATAGCAGCCATCCAGAGCTTCTAGAAGCTGAACCTGGTGGCCTTCTCACCAGCCGAGGTACTGAGCCCTGCTGTCCTCCCTACCTCCTCTTCACACCCCTGTGCTTATACCCAATGCCCCTTGGTGCTGGGAGCGGAAGGGGCTACCCCATGCTCCAGAGAGCCAGGGTTACCAAGCTCCTGGTATCTCTGACCCTCAGGCTTCATCCGTCTCCCAATGTTGGGCTACATCTACCGAGTGTCCAGTGTCAGCAGTGATGAGATCTGGCTCTGAGGGTGAGGCATAAGGCCCAGGTGGCTTGTGAACTTCCCAGGGCACCCAACCCCAGTGTCTCCTTCAAGCCTTCCTCTGCCTGGTCATGTTGTGACCATGAAGAAGATATGCCACTGCCACATGGCCCTCCTGGTAGGGGTATCCTGTGGGTCATGCATGATGTATTTCATGGTCTAGCCTTGGAAAGACCTTTGGTCAAAACTAGGCCCCTTGTACTCAACTCAGTTGGTCCCAGGTAGATGGAACTCTGGCTGTTGTGTCCAGGTGTCACCCCACATGTAAGAGATGGGCCTACTATATGCTACACATGAGTATTCCCTGCACCTCATACAGTAGGCAGAGGGATGCCTATGTGTGTGTGGGGGGTGGGGGATAGAATGGTCCCTGCACAGCTCAGATGTCCTTCCTATGCTATGCAGCTTTGTTCCCTCAGGGAAAACAGCCCCCTGCTAGCTGTATAGAACCAAACTGCCCTTTGCTCAGGAACCAGCCCCTTGCCCAGGAACATGGCCAAGCACAAATTAGTCCTTTTGTTGCATCTCTCTCTGCACTTTTGTCCCTACCTCCTCTTGGACATCAAAAGTCATGCACTAGACATGACCTCCATGGCTGAAGCCCCAGGTGCCAGCCTCTGGTGTTAGCACAAGATGAGCAGGAAGAGGTGATTCTGGCCCTCAGGATGCACGTAGCTATGCAATGTTTTGTACAAGTGCTCCCACTTTAAGCACATTCCCTGGAGAAAGGAGGGTCCAGGGCCTTCTTAGTTTGGCCTTCAGTGACCGAGTGCTCTGAGCACTCAGGATTGATGGGTTTCCTCACTGCATGTCTCTCCCCAAACCAGCAACATCCCCAACTGGTCCCTGGCTGCCCCATCCTATTTAGGGGATGGTCACAGTGGACATTAAGTCAACAGTGCCAGATTTGGGGGGACACAGAGAAAGCAGGAACCTATATAACCCCAAAGAGCTAAGAAAGCTTTTAAAAAGCAACATGTAAGTAATTGGAGAACAGAATATATTTTCCCTTCTTGGTATCTTGTTTTGTAATTTTTCTCATGTTACTGGTTAGTGCTGCACACACAGTAAACTACCTTGACTGAATAAGTATGTCTTTGCTCATTTCTTCAACAATTTTTATTTGTGTTTGTTTTTTGAGCTAGGGACCCATGTAGTCTAGGCTAGCCTTGAGTTCACTATGAGACAGAGGATAACATTGAACATCTGATCTACCTGCCTCCACCTCTCAAGGCTGGGATTACAGCCTTGTACCACCACCCTGGTTTTCCAAGTATGTTTTAGAATGGGCCTCAACCCCTTTCTCTTTTTGCTGTGCTGGATGGAAGCTGGGGCTTGGTGCCTGTCACACAGGTGCTCAGTTACTAATCTACACTACCAATGCATAGACAGCCCTCTCCTCTCTAAACACTTCCAACTGTTTTATAACCACAAAATAACACAGAGGATACTGCCCTGTACAAAACACAAACAGATTCAAACAGAGGGAAAATATGGAGCACTTCATCAATTTCGTGTCATCCTTGTGCAGGGACCATGCCAATCTTCCCTGTATTAAATGAGTTTTTGATCACACAGCAGGCACCTTAACTACCATGAGTAATAGCTTCAGCCACGGTAGTCTGTACCCTGAAAACCTAATGGAGGATCTGGGCTCCAATCACAACACACCTCCCCTCCTCGTGATAGGAAGAAAGCAAAGCACCTGGCCTAGTGTCCCAGTGAGGCAGCAATGAAGCCTCCAGCCAGACATAATAACAGCTGGTTTGAGTTTGTGTATGTTGGTCTGTCAGGCTTGACAGTGGAATCTTCCCTCCAATCCACCCTGGTCCCACTTGCTTCCCATCAGTACTTGGCTCCATTACCCCTTCAGTTGCTTACACCCAAGCTGCCTTTCTCTCCATCCCCATGTCTAGTCTATCGCCAGGCTCTGTTGGTTCTACCTCTATTGGCATGTCTCTCCAAAGAAGGGAATACTGAAGGAGCAAACAGAGGGGCCTTGCTAGGTCTCCCTCGATAGCATCTTAGCAATAGATCACATTCTTTGGGGCTAGTCTTATTTCTACATATTTGTCCTGGAGTCAATCAAGCCTGTGCAATAATGAGGTCTCTATAAAAATTCCAAAAGACAGGGCTCAGAGCTTCCAAATGGACAAAAGATAAGTCCTTCTTCACATGCTGCTGGATCCCAATTCCTGGCCTGCATTGGTATCTGTCATGGGAGGCAGGGAGGTAGAAGAGGAAGCAACAGCTTTATTCAAAGTCCCTACAGTGGTGGATGGGGCTCTGCAATCTTCCTTAGTCCTCAGCATCTAGCCACAGCCAACTCTTGTTCTAGGCAGCAATCTTTAACTTCTCTGTACTTCCATCAGTCTCCATTCTCCCTTCTGTTTTACTGGTTTCCCACACTACACTTCTTAAAATTACATTTGTGTGTGCAAGTGTGTGTGTATTCATGCAAGTATTCATGCAAGTGTGTATTCTGGATCTCTGTGGTAGTTCTTTCCTTCTGCCATGTGCATCCCAGGGACTAAACTCAGGTTGCCAGGCTTTGTAGCAAACACCTTTACCTGCTGTGCCATCTTGCCAGCTCCTTCCTCATAATTTTGTAACCAATTTGTTGTGTTAAATATCCTTTGTTAAAAACAACTACAATGAGCCTGGCGTGGCGGTGCATGCCTTTAGTCCCAGCACTCAGGAGGCAGAGGCAGGTGGATCTCTGTGAGTTTGAGACTAGCCAGGCTCCAAAGCCACAGAGAAACCCTGTCTCGAAAAACCAAAATAACAAACAAAACAACTACAATGGTTTCAGGTTCCCAAATGGACAGTGGCTGATACCACTCCAAAATAGTTCCCAAATCTATCCTCTACTTCTCCCTACTCAAGCAGCTTGTCTCCTAACACTGCCACAGTCAGGCTCCCTTAAGGCCACATGCTCTTGCCTTTGCTTCTTAACAACCAGTAATAAGTTAGGCGTCCCCACAACCTGCTCCTCAGCTTTCAACAACTTGTAAAACTCAGAGAGACACGTTTCCTAGTTTATCAAAAAAAGACATTCAAAGGATACAGGTGAAGAGGTGAACAGTGGGCATGGTGGCTCAGGCTTGTAATCCTTGGACCCAGAAGGCAAAGGGAAGAGGATAAAGAGCTCATGCTAGCCTGAGCTACATAGTGAACTATAGACCACTCTGGGCTGTACAGAGACCCTGTCTAAAATAAATTACTAAGATTATTTTAAAATTAAAAAAGACATGTAAGATGCATGCCACCTTCTCAGAACTTCCCTGTCTCTGACTGTTAGGAAGTTCTCCACACCGTGACCTTTGAAGTTTCCATGGAGACAAAGGCACAGCTGAAACATGAACCACTATGCTGACATGTGACTGGGCAAAAATGGTCTGATCTAATGCTGTGGATTGGAGTGGGGGGAGTAGGGTCTGGAAATTCCTCAGTATTGCTTCCTTGCTAAGAAGGGGCAAGACCCCATCTAAATGAGGGTCTTGATCTATTAGCATCAGCCAAGCAGGCCAAAAGATTTGAGAGTAAGTTGGGCTTGGCTGAATATGTCTGTAAGCTTTCCACTTGGAAGGTGGAGGTGGAAGCAGGAAGATCAGGTCTTTAAGACCAGCCTGCACAGCCAAGTCAAAGCCAAACTGGGTTACATGAAGCCCTGTCTCATACCCCACAACAAAAGAAAAATAGAAGAATGTAAGACTGTAAGAGCAAAGTCCATGTCTTGCCCTGAGGAAGAAATTCAGCTTGAGGCCGGCTTGGGGAGAAAAGAGCAGGTGAAAGGGGGGGTAGAAGGTCAGAGACAGAAAGAACATGAGTCTAAAAGGCAGAGGCAGGCCTGACTTGAGGCCCCCAACCCTATCCTAGTCACTCTGGAAATCACAATGATGAAGTAATGAGCCAAGAGCCATGGGTGAAAACCAAATATATATTCTATCACACGGAACACTTGGAGTGAGTGTAAAATCACTTCCAGTTAACCAAAGAGTGTTTTTGGAAGATCCACCCCCAACCTGTGTCCTGTGGCTCTCAGAAATCCAGTTCTTCCAACTCAAATGCCCACAGTAGCATGGATATGTCCTTCCTTGGGGAAGACAATGGGAGGGAGGCAGGTGGAAGGAACCCAGTGGCAAACGTGTGCCCTGCTCGTGCAGACAGGCAGCAGCACTTGTGCTGCCTCGTCCAGCTGTGGAGCAGGCCGATGTTAAGCTGCCAGCAAAGACCATGTCGTCATCAGACTTTGAAACACAGCCCTAGGAGGCGGCTCAGATGAAGGTTAGTGTCTCTGCATCGCCAGCCTGGGAGGCAGAGTTGGACGGAGGAGTGAATGCTTTCTTGCCTTCAGCGAGAGCTTTAAAATGCTACAAGAAAGAGAGGACACAGTTTGGAATATGCTAGTTGCTACATTCTAACAAGGATGACCACTTTATTTATTATGTATTTATTTATTATGTATACTGTGTTCTGCCTGCATGTCTGCCTGTAGACCAGTAGCAGGCACCAAATCTCATTATAGATGGTTGTAAGCCAACATGTGGTTGCTGGGAATTGAATTCAGGACCTCTGGAAGAACAGCCAGTGTTCTTAACCTTAGAGCCAACATCTCTCCAACACTGATAACTACTTTAAAACCCCTTTAGGCTAAACTGAGCAAGGTGGCACCAGCTTTAATCCCAACAGTTGGGAGGCTGAGGCAGGAGGATCACTGTGAGTTCAAAGCTAGCCTAAGCTACACCATAATTTCCAGGTCAGCCTTGGCCATAGTGAGACAGATCCCCAAACATGTCCTAAGTCTACTTCCAAGCCAATACACTGGTTTTATCCTTGAAAACAACAGCAATGTACCCATCTCCTTCAAAACAAACCCTTGTTTCTGTTTCCTTCCTGCCCACATTCATGGGCCCTGTGCTTCTGTGTTTGGCTCCTCACTAAATTCCATCTAAAGCACATCCTCTCTTACTTCCCTTACCCAGTCTCCTCTGCTGCTCACTTAAATCATGGGAAAGGCACTGTGACCCCAAATGAGAACACAGTCACAGCAGGGCCCCAGGCAGTGTTGGTAGCCCTGCTGCTTGTCTTACCTGGGAGTTCTTGAATTCTGAGTAGAGGGAAAAGAGTAGGTGGAGGGACTGAATCCGACTCTTGTAGAAAGGAATGTCCAAGATAGCTGTAAGAAAGAAGAGCTCACAGGGACAGAAGCAAACAGGCTCTGGAACTGGGGTACTTCTGTTTAGGCTGCACTCCCCTCCTAAATGGGATATGTTACTTTTGAGTTCAATACTGAGCCCCAACACCACCCTCGAGGGTTACCAACAGCACAGCTGGCTTACAGTGAAGACTGCAAATCAAGACCCTACTGTGCAGGGATCAGCAAGCCCTTACAAAGGCCTCGAACACAGCTGCCAGAGACAGGGCTAGGGAGGACGGGAAAGGGCTTACCACAGATCATGTCAATGTAGTCGGCCAGGCTGCAATCAATCTCAACCGTGGGCAGACTCACCTGGAAGCAACATATGATGGACTACAGTCAAAAGGCTCAAAAGGGCCTTTAGGTACAACACTTGGGAGACAGAACTCATGGACAGATTGCTATGAGTTCCAGGACAGCCTGGTCTACATAGTAAGTTTCAGGCCATCTGTGGCTACATCATGACAATGTCAAAAGCAGACAAACAAAAAAAGGGACAGGAAGCTGGACAGTAGTGTGTACCCCTTTAATCCCAGCACTTGGGAGGCAAAGGCAGGTGGACCTCTGTGAGTTCGAGGACAGCCAGGGCTACACAGAGGTACCATCTCAAAAAAACAAAAAACAAAAACAAGGGACTAGAAAGAGGCCCAGCCATTAAGAACATACACTGGGGCTGGAGAGCTGGCTCAGAGGTTAAGAGCACTAGCTGTTCTTCCAGAGGTCCTGAGTTTAATTCACAGCAACCACATGGTAGCTCACAGCCATTTCTAATGAGATCTGGTGCCTCTTCTGGTGTGCAGGCATACATGCAGGCAGAATACTATATACATAATAAATAAATCTTAAAAAAAAAAAATACACTGCTCTTGCAGAGGATCCAACCAGTGGGTAAAACATTTGCCTTGCAAGCCTCATAGCTTGAGTTCAATCCTCAGAGGTGGAAGGAGAGACCAACTCCATAAAGTAGACTTTGACCTACATATGTAGACCATGGCATGTTTACACTCCCCTCACAATTATAATTTATATTGTGAAAATGGCTATGCTAGTGGACATATTCTACAGATCCAATGCAATTCCCATCAAAATTCTGGTAGCATTCTTCACAGAACCAGAGAAGACATTTCTGCAATTCATACAGAAACATAAAGACCACAGATAGTCCAAAGTGTCTTAAACAAAAAGAACACAGCCAAGGTATCACATTACCTTACCTAAACTATACTACGGAGGCCACAGTAACAAAGAGAGCACAGGACTGCCACAAAACAAGACAGTGGAGACAAAAGGACCTACAAAACACATAGTATGTACACCTAATTTCTGACAAAGCTGTAAGAATGCACACTGGAAAAGGAATCTATGCAGTAACTAGTGCTAGCAGAACCAGATAT